GTCCGGTTGTGGGGCCTGAACTCTGGGCCTGGGCGCTGTCCCTCAGCTCTTCAGCTCAAGGCTAGCACTCTACCACTTGAGCCACAGCGCCACTCCTGGCCTTTTCTGCTTATGTGGTGCTGAGGAATCCAACCAGGGCCTCACGCATGCAAGGCTAGCGCTCTACCACTTGAGCCACAGCGCCACTTCTGGCTTTTTTCTTTTTGCTTATGTGGTGCTGAGGATTCAGGCATGCAAGGCAAGCGCTCTGCCACTGAGCCACCTTCCCAGCCCCGAGCATGCAGCTCTTATGAGGCCAGAACGCATTCATTCATTCACTCATGACAATGTCTCATGGAATACTGCCTCAAACTTGAGACCCTCCTGCCTCAGACTCCTGAGTGGGGCTGAGATCACAAGCACGCACCACCATACCAGGCTCAGAATGCTGAGTGTGTATGTGTACATGCATGTTTGAGCTGCTCTCCAGGGACTTGAACTCAGAGCCTGGGTAATGGCCCTGAGCTTTGTTCAAGGTGAGCCCCTCTACCACTTGAGTCACAGGACTACTTCTGACTTTTTTTTTTTGCCAGTTCTGGGACTTGAACTCAGGGCCTGGGTACTGTCCCTGAGCCTCTTAGTGCTCAAGGCTAGCACTCTATCACTTGGCTTTTTCTAAGTAGTTTATTGGAGAGTCTCACAGACTTTCCTGCCTGGGCTGGCTTCAAACTGTGATCCTCAGATCTCAGCTTCCTGAGTAGCCAGGATTACAGGCGTGAGCTATATGAGTGCCCGGGTGTAATGCTTTTTAATTCAACAACAGCACAATGTTGAATGGAGACAGCAAGGGGCAGGCCACCCTTTAAATCATATGACTAGGGGTCAAAAGTAGTGGCGGGAGGGACGTACCTCAATTTCTTTGTGCTCATATTTTAGGGCATTGCGGCCCCCTTGACTTTTCCTCCGTATCTTCTTCAGCTCGGCCTGGGACTTCTCCAGGGAATCCAACTTGCTCTTGTGTTCTGTTTGGTATCGCTTGAGCGTGGCCTGCGAGTCAAGCGTGGGCTTTCCTTCACTGCAGCACCTAGTAGCTGCCACGCATGCGGCCACCATGACCGTGGCTTGCTCTGCATGGGCGCCCAGCACTCACAGGCCTGCTGAGGGCCCGGGCGCAGGGATGGCTCTGGAATAATGAGGACCAAGGCCTCACATATTGGGGTGTTGGGGGACATTAGAAAGTAAGCTTTCTAGGGGAGATGGAAAGCACTTGTGTGACGTGGCTGGAAGACCAGAGGAACAGAGACCCCAAAACCAGCTAAATGGACACGGGAAGTAGGGCAGGCTGGGGGCAGGAATGGCTGTCCTGATAGGCATGTATCAGCTGACAACACTGCTTTCTAGGAACATAGTTATTTCTGAAACTATTTTGTTCTTGTGCCTTTTCTTTTTAAAAATGGTTTGGGGCCAGGGTCTTGCTATGAAGTCCTGGCTCGGTTCAAACTCTCAATCCACCTGCCTCAGCCTCCTGAGTGCTGGGATTACAGGTGTGCACCACCCCACCCCACCGGTTCCTCTAGTTTTTAATACAGATCCCAAGTGGTACCAGAAAGAGGCCACTCAGTTCCACAACCCTCCTCCCCCACTTCCCTCCCGCCCCCAGGACTGAACCGAGGGATGGCCGTGGAGCGGACCAGGCCGCACGCACGTTCATGTACTTCACATCCAGCTCCGTCTTCTTCTCCAGCTCATGGATGATCTCCTTATGGAACTTTCGGAACTGTTCATGAAATAAAAAAAAAAAAATCCCCACCAGGTTGGAGGCTTTTGGTGCGATCAGCGCAAAGCACGGTGCCATTGTGCTTGGGTGCGCAGTGGGCACGTACGTTCTCTTCGAGGCTCTCGTTGAGCTTCTTGTGGGTGCTGGCAATCTCGATGAGGACGTGGCCTGCGAAGGCGACAGATACGTTAGGAGGCGCCATGTGCCGGGGACAGGCTCTGCGGCCTTGGGTGTGTGAGGCAGGTGCTCTCCCATACAGCCACCCCTGGTCACCACATAGGAGTTGAAAAGTAACAGAAGGAA